TGAACTGAACCAGAGCTTCCAACAGTAAATGTTAGGCTGGGTGTGGCCATAGCTCTTCCGGATTGGTCCATTTTGTTCCGGGTACCGCATGACATCATGCCGTACCCGGAAGAATCAAATGGGCAGTGACGTATCTCCAACGAGGCGTTTTGGGGAGGTATTTTCTGTGTTAGAGTTTTACTCGCTACAGGGTGTACTTTGAGGGTTTTGACTCTGCACACCGTTTACATGCAGAAAAACCTTCATAACACACAAGGGGACGGGTAATAACCGGAAAAGCATGACACCTCTCCTTTAACCAAAATATATCATAAAGTTATCACCCCTTTTGTGAGGTATGTGTCCAGGACTGAACGATTAATCGATTTTAAATTGAAATCGCAATTTTAAATGATGCAATTATCAAATCGCAAAGCCTGCGATTTTTTTCAGTTTAAAAAGAAATGTGTTTTAGTTTTTTTTGTTCTTCTTGTGTGTCAGTCATCCACACCAATCAGAAGTGCTGTGCTCCACATGTACCAGTCATTGTTAACCAATCAGAAGTGGCCCATGATAGTAGGTCATGTAGTAGGACAGATTGATCCAATCACCTGCCAAGTATTTTTGAAATACTTTTCCAAATGGCTTCCAATGGAGCTTTCCTAGATGCTTTGGTGAAACAAACCATCTGAGTCAGGTTAGTAATGCTCCATCACATGTTTTACATCTATTACAGGGTGAATCTTAAACTGAAGCTTGACTTTAAAGCAACCCAACGGAAGTTTCATGTAAGTTTAATTCTTTCACTCGTAGCTCTGGTTGCGGGGGTGCTAGAGACGGGAGCACGTTGATACGACCTTCCTAGCCGGAGATATGGCTGTATTTTACAATAAACTTCTGTTGGGTCGCTTAAAAACAAATATCGCAAATCGAATCGCAATATCTGTCAGAAAAATCACAATTAGATTATTTCCCCAAATCGTGCAGCCCTGTCCCAGAGGGCATCACCTTTGTCTTTTTCCAGTCTTAAACTAACAGTCATACTTCATAATTATGACTACCCATTGGTTGATTGTGAGAGACTGCTTACAGATCCACCGCCTTGTTATGGCCTTTTTATTAGCTGTCTTAAAGATTAAACAAATATATTGTTCATTTTTTGGTAACCCCATATTCCCCAGGTAAAAGGAGACACCGGTGACATTTATATCATAACTTAGAACTTCTCTGATTGTTTAACTGGACTTATAACTTATAACTGGACTTTTCTTCACACACTAGATTTTACATTCACATTTAATTTATATGCTTTTCCTTGCAAACGTAATGTAAATAATTTGGGCTCAATAAAGTATATGTTATTTAAACATCCCATAAGGCAGGGGTGGGGAACCTCCGGCCTCCGGGCCGTATACGGCCCGCGAGACCATTTGATACGGCCCTCGAGGTAATTTATAGACACACGAAAAAAAATTAAGAAATCTAGACCGCAAAATAATTTAAAAAGCGAGTGCCTGTTTTTCCAGTCCTTGAACACAACACAAGCCTAACGTGTCATCACGTGGTATATGTCTCGTCTGACAGGGGTGCAGTGCTGACGTAGAGCACCAGAACGCCGCTCCGGCAATTCAAAATTTGCAGTACACATAAGGAGCCGTACACATGCCGCAGTTTTTACGTGGCTGTGTCTTTAGTTGAAAGCCCGGTGGCGATCTGTTCATCTGTCATACTGATCATACAGTCAATAACTTTGTTATTAGCATCTGGTTAGCTAGCTATGCTAACGAATATAAGAAGCTTTTTCTACAACCAGTGACGTAAATGTGCAGTGAGGCACATCTTTATATGATCATTATAGTTATAAAAAAATAAGAGAATAAAGTAAATGGGTATAAAATACTATATGACAGTATAAAAAAGTTGTTATTAATAAACAAGAATACAGTTTGAAAGGGGAGTGATTTGTAAAATATCCATAAAGAAAAATAAATCTGCTTACAGTTCTGTTTCATATGGGTGTTGAGAGATGTATCCATAGATCTCCTAATGTTGCTCTCAAAGTGCACCAGATTGATGCTTTTAACTTCAACATTTAAAAAAAAAAAAGTCTTCCCGGGGGAGCATGCCCCCGGACCCCCCTAGAGGATGTTAGGTCCCCCCCCACTTAAATCATGTTCACATGAATAGGAAACTAAATACATTTGCACACATCTTGTGTCCATATCTTTCTGTTTCGGTGGTCATGCCACAACCGTGCACGTGCATGCATGCGCGAGTCATGGCAAGATATCTGGATTAAGGGGTTGCTTTTTCTTTGCACAGCATGAAAAGACGAAATGAATGGGCTCTGATTTTAGTTTTTTTAAGCAGAGGTTGAGTTTAATAATTTGTACGGCCCTCGGAGGATGTTGTAAAAATTGAAATGGCCCTTGAGAGGAAAAAGGTTCCCCACCCCTGCCATAAGGGTTTAAGAACTTGGCAGCCCCAGAATATGTGTGCATGATCTGCCTTACAGTGGCCCCATCCTCTCCAGCAGTAACCTTTACTTTGAACGTCTCTGTGTCCAGGCCTGCAGTGCTCCAGCGCTTTGTTCCGTCATGAGATCGGCTATGTGCTGGGTCAGATGCAGCACCCGGCGGCGGTCCCGGCCCTGCGTGCGGCTCTGGAGCGCTCCGGGGAGAGCCCCATGGTCCGTCACGAGGCGGCAGAGGCTCTCGGCTCCATCGGCAAAGAGGAGTGTCTGGCCGTGCTGCAGCAGTTCCGTGGTGACGGAGAACGTGTGGTGAAGGAGAGCTGCGAGGTGGCTCTGGATATGCTGGAGTATGAAAACAGTGGGCAGTTCCAGTATGCAGATGAACTGGTCAGGTTACAGGGTTAAAAGTTCTATGTTACTTAAAAAATGCTTTTACTGAAATTGCTTATTTAACAAGTTAATGCTGTCTGTACTAGAGTGGTGCAGTGATTATGTGATTTCTGTTGGCTGAGGTCGAAGTTAGCATCACAAGGGCTACCTTAAGGGAGCAATTTTTGGATTTGGGAATATTGCAGAAAATAAGATCAGTTGCACACACACATTTATGATACTTACACATTTTGTTCAGCAGGATAATCTCCACACTTTACACAACTTTGACGTGTTTTGAAGTGTAATTGCGAACTACAGAAACAAAGAAACTAACATTATATATCAGGGGCTCATGACTATCCACAAACCCTGGTAAGCTAAAGGTGGCTAATGTTAGCATGATGATGTTAACTTATTTCATTTAGTTGCTTGTTAGCAACTGTGGATTTTTGATGACACGTAGAAGCTTCAGAGATTCACCAGTTGAATACTTACTGACGTATTTTATGTTGTAGATCAAACACAAAAATCTCTGAAGCTTGTATTTACTGCTGGCCTTATTTCAGGCATCTAATCAAAAACACATGCAAAACACCTCTGACTTTTAGATGAGTGAACTGGAAGTGGTATATTGCTGACTCATTTCCAGGTTTTTGGACTCATTACTGCACCACTCTATTGTATTGCCTTGTACAGCAGAGACAGCTGGACATCTCAGGGCTGCATCAATAAAACGATAGGATCCTGTGGGAGGAAGCTTTACAGTACAAAGTAAGGAACTGTCAAAACCCACAGAGAGCATCCAGAGTTGGTGCTGTAACTTTGAGCTGTGTATGGTAACGATGAGGAGAGAGCACTCTTTGTTTTCCCCCCCTTCAAGATGCCACAGCATACATGTTCGCACCATCATTTGCACCTCCACTTTGCTCATATTGTTTTATCTGGGAGCTTTTTGTGATCAGTATGGACTGCATGTGTAAGTGTGGACATTGGTTCTGACCCAGGCCTCCTGTCAGTGCATTCTGCTTGGATTATTTATCACAAGACAAAGATCTATCCTCTTTCTACTGTGGACTTCCAGTTTGTTGGGAAGTACACATCCCTCATTGCAGGGAAACATCATCCCAAACTGGAATCTGCTCCAGAGACTAATGGTGAAACATTTGAGTGAAACCTAAATCTCTCATGGTTGCTTGGTTACTAAATAGCTGTAGAAAACAGGTTTGGATTTTTTACTCTATCCAAGTGTGTAATGTATGTAAAATAAACACCATGCTTTATACATTTATTTATAGTCCTGTCCTCTTCAGCCTAGAGAGCAAGTTCTCTGAGCAGAAAGGTATATGGGTATTTGTATGTGTTCTTATGTGATCTGTAAATGTATGCCTTTTTTACCTGGGCTGACTGATTATATTCTCCCAGTTTTTGTATGATTAGAGACACTTTAAAGAAAACACCTGATACAGGGTGGATTTACAGGTTGGGACATATATTTATCTTGCATGATCCACTTTGATTCACATCAATTTGCTTCAATCAATTTAAGTAACATCATGGTGTCAAGCTTATGGTTCTCCATTCTCAATATACAAACTAATCTGTTCTTTACGTTGAATTCACATAATGAAATGAAAACTGGAAATGGTCAAATAAATCCCTTCAGCTGAATTTAGCTTTAATAACCTATTATGACTTAACCATACAAATGTATAGAGATACCAACTTCAATTTCGTGTAATGTTTTTATTTAATATTTTATTTATATTATTTGTTTCTTTTTTTTTTATATATATTTATTTATTCAGATTATGCATTTGATTACATCACAGTACAAACAACAAACATACACTCCCCCCCCATCCACAACAGCGAGGGTGATACAAACAATAGCCAAAAAAACATACATAAAAGAAAAGAAGGAAATGGTCACTAGTGCATGGTAAGGGAGGCGTGTGGTGCAGTGGGTTGTGTGTTGGTTTTCGGATCAGGTTGTCACAGGTTCAAACCCCACTGCAATCAGCATGTCATTGTGTCCCTGGGCAAGACACTTCACCTCAAATTGCTCCTGTGGGGATTGTCCACAGTATTGAGTATGTAAGTCGCTTTGGATAAAAGCGTCTAACAAAGTGACATGTAATGTAATAATGTAATGTAATAACATCAGTAACAACTGTAATATATACATATATATATATATACATTTGACGCATAAGGCACAGAGATGTTTTAAGTTATAATGTCCTTAATTTACTAGCAGTCACAAGACTAAATAAATAAGAGTGAGGATTAATTCAGATCAGGGTCTAAGGATAGAGATATAAGAGGACAAAAATGATATTCAAATCAATACAGTAAATGGACAAGATCAAATAAAAATAATGAGATAAAATTGCAAAAGATAGCAAATTGCCTGGACCACATCATGACCACCCATATTATTTGTTTCTTACCGGTAGTTGTCTTCCTCCAGGTGGCGCGCGAGCTTGGCAACCACTCTGTTACAGTAACCATGGAAACTAGTGAAGTTTGGGTCTCTGTTAAATCGTTGTGAATGCTAAGCTAGTTAACTCCACGGTGTCAACGTCTTTTAGCTACCGTTAGTCTGATAGTCAGATAGTGTTTTGAAGATAAAAGTTCCGAACCACACGGAGGAGAAGAAAAATGGAAAGTACGGATGGAAACGACGCCAAAAGTGAGCAGAGACTTAAGTCAGCTGCCGCCTTAAAGAGCTTCATGTTGAAAAGCAGCACCGAGAGCAAACTGAACCTGTGAGTACCGTGTTTATGGGATAGACTAGTGTTAGTGGCTAGCTAGCCGGTGACTTAGCTAGCTTGTTCGGTTGGTTAGGGCAGGGGTTCCCAAACTTTGCCATTCCAAGGACCCCCATATAGCATTATCCTCTGGCGGGGACCCCCCTGTTGCAACATTTTTTTTAAATGATGACATGATGAAAAATATGACAAATTAATCATACAGCTTAATACATTTTCTTAATATATATTTGTATTAATAATTAATAATCAGTTATTCTTCTAAACATTTTTTGTATTTATCTTTTGTTTGTCATTCATTACATTCATTGTGTCTTCTGTTATAAACATTCTTAAACCAATATTAAACAGTAATATGAACAATTAACATATTTTTAAAGCATTTTTGAAAGCTATTTATGCCTTAATAATATTATATATAATATTCAACAGTAATATTAACAATACACATATTTATATTCATTTATATAAAAAACAGTCCTTCTCATTTCACTATGTGTGTCTCTTTGTGCATACCTGTTCCCTCACTATTGGGAGGGGTGGGCTTGGTGGCTCCTACACAGTTTATCAATCCTAGGTTTTAGGTTTGTCATTATTGTCCACTTGCAAACGTCCTCTGTGCTTTGTTTTCAATACCTTCAATGTAGAAAAGCCAGACTCGCTGAGGTATGTGGTGGCAAATGGAAGAAGGGATTTGAGAGCCCTCTCAGCCAGTGCGGGATAGTCTTTTATGACATACAGCCAGTACTGTGGGAGTGAAACAGTATGCAAGTTTCCGGAGCCATGAGGCATCTGAAAAACGGCCAGCCAGTTGATGATTTTCAGAAGAGAGGAATTCACCAGTAGCGTGGCGTGGGGAAAAATTTAGGGGAAGCCCATTTTTTTGGGTTGGGTTAATTTATGCAGACACGCCCCCCCCGCCCCCCCCCCCCCCCCCCCCCCCCCCAAATGCAATACCAGCCGCTCAATGCGCAGTGCAGATTCGGTAATGAATACAAAAGAAGGGTTTGAATGGGGTGAAGCCACTTTGCCTCACTTTTATCCGAACTGCAGTGCATTGTGGTCAGCAGAGCGGAGATTTTCAGGATTTTCAGGATTTACAGGATTTGATTCAAAGTTTAAAACCTGTTTGGGGAGTTTATATCAGTTTACTTAACTTCGGGCCTCTGAAGGGAAACTAGAGACGGCTGGCTTCCCTTGGCATGGCCCTGACCAATCACAGGTTGGCAGGGGCATCACGTGGGCCTCATCTGATTGGTCAATCCCTCACCAAGGGAAGCCAGATTCCGGTGGCCTCGTCTCGCAACAGTGAATGCAATCTACTGTTTCACCATAACATCTAGAGAGGGGCGCTGTTTGTTTCACTCTTTCTTTGTAAAATACTCAATGAGAGTGGGGGAGAGACGGGCCGGCAGCAACAGCAAAGGAGAATTATCGAAACAAAACAAAGTGTTTTTATTTATTTATTTAAATTATAACTACAATCCGAAAAAACAGGGGAAGCCTGGCTTCCCTTGGCCTCCGGGAGAAAACGCCACTGGAATTCACTGATCTCCCTTCGCAGTTCAAAAACAAGATTCAGCACCGCCGCACGGGAAAGCCAGCGCACGTTGGAGTGGAGCGGTAACCCCTCAAACTTTGCGCCCATCTCGCTACACAAAATACGTTTAGCAACAAGTGCCTCGCGATGAAGCATGCAGTGCGTTGCCACAACATTTGGGGCCTTCCGCCTGATCAAAGCTGTCACTCCGCTTTTTTTGCCGGTCATAGAGTGGCGAAGTCACGCCCATCTACTTCCGCCCCATGGGACCTTATTTCGGAAAAATAATGTATTGAAGTCAATGGAGAGAGAAAACGTATCTTTCGATCCCGTTTGAATTGTGCCATGAATTACACATATGATGTTTGTCAATCTTAAAAAATAATTTCCATGTCAAAAAAGTCACAGTTTGTCGTAAAACTGTTGAAATATAAGACTATGAAAAATACGTAACTAGAAAGACTACAAATCCCAGAGTCGCGTAAGTGATGTCACAATTGTTTTCCTCCACTAAGAAATAGCTCAAATCAGCTAAGATAAGATAACTTTAACAAGATGCCTGTGTGCTTAAGTACCAGGTTGTTATTATACCAGCAATGGGTCTTGCTCGTTCTTTCGCTTCCCGTCTGATGAAAGGACCAGCAGTGTCTGGATCAAGCTAGCTAGCACGTTAGTTAGCATTACAGCCTTGTCATTTTTATTAGCCTTAACATGAAGTAACATTAAGTAACCCAAAATGTTAAACAGTAAGAGTAGTAGTCATATTTCGTGAACCCTTTGAAGAGTACTGTCACCGGTGTGATCATTCTATAATACACAATTTAAGCCCGGGGGAGAAATGCTAACGCTAACGCTAGCATTGACGATCTTCTCTACTTCATGCTATCTGCACAAATGGTTGACATTAAACATTAAAACGACCAGGCAGTTCAGAGAGAATCAAAGGAAGGCAGGCAGCTTTGCATGACATTCTTCAGGACGTGTTTCATTGTGGTGATAGTGAGGGTAGTCAATCGTTTTGTTGACAAGACAGTAGTGACGGCCATCTTGGTGACGTGTGTTGTTGACCAGAGATGTAGTTCATTGAGCGTTTCACACAAACAAATGTGTTACTTCACAGTTTTACGACATATTTTTTTTTTTTTGACTTGCAAAATTATCTTTTAAATTGACACACATCATATGTGTAATTCGTGGCACAATTCAAACGGGATCGAAAGATAATCTTTCTCTCTCCATTGACTTCAATACATAATTTTTCCGAAATAAGGTCCCATGGGGCTCAACCGGAAGGGGAGGGACTTCGCCACTCTATAGCCCCACTGCCCCATTCTGAACACAACGAGACCAGTCAAGTCCATTTGAGATGTTGTACTCATCTAAAACTTGGAAAATGTCTCTTCATGTGGTCCTACCTTCCAGTGCTTTGCAAAATAATATTTCCTCAACAAAGTTGTTTTCTGAAATAAATCTGATTTCTGCGACATTTGCTACAGCCGTGCTCTCATCCAGCTGCAGAGCGAAATATTCACTAGCTCTCACTTGCTCCAAAAGCTGAGCAGATACTCAGTTTCACTCTCAGTAGCGGCAGCTCGATTCTGATTGGCTTGAAGGGCGGTCGTGTGATTTAAAAACAAAAAATATTAAAATATTGGCATCAAAGGACACATAGATTGATAGATATCAAGGTTCAAGGTTCAAGGTTCTTTATTGTCAATCTGACATAGCTACAGAGTAATTATGTAGTTGAAAATCTTATGTCACAGGCTTCTCCAACAATGCAACATAATAACATAATAACAATAAGAGCAAGAGCAATACAAAAAGAAAAATAGTTATAAAATAAAATAAAGTGATGATGTGGAATAGTGCAGTACGAGTCTATATACAAGTTATTGGAATGATATATATATATTAGGTATTAGATACATACTACTGAGTAGCAGATGAATGTTTGAAGTTGTTTCAACAGTTCAATTTTTTAACAGTCTCACTGCCCGCGGGAAGAAACTGTCTCCGAATCTTCTTGTCCTTGCCAGGATGCTGCGGTAACGTCTGCCAGATGGCAACAGAAAGAACAGTTTGTGGCTGGGGTGATGGGGGTCTTTGATAATCCGTAGTGATTTCTTCCTGAGCCGCTGGGAGTAAAGGTCCTCCATGGATGGCAGCTCCGTCCTGGTGATGTGCTGTGCAGTTTTCACCACCCTCTGTAAAGCCTTACGATCGAGGTCGGTGCAGCTGCCGTACCAGGCCGTCATGCTGCCAGTTAGGATACTCTCTATCGTGCACCTGTAGAAGTTGCAGAGTATCCTGGAATCCATTTTGAACCTCCTCAACCTGCGGAGGAAGAAGAGCCGCTGTCGAGCTTTCTTGGTGATGGTGGTGGTGTGAAGAGACCATGTCAGGTCCTCAGTGATGTGGACCCCAAGGAACCTGAAGCTTTTGACTCTCTCCACCGTAGTCCCATTGATGGCGATGGGGGCGTGTCCCTCTCCCTGCTGCTTCCTGTAATCCACAATCAGCTCCTTTGTTTTGCTGATGTTGAGATGGAGGTTGTTATCCTGGCACCAAGATGTCAGGTTTTCGACCTCCTCTCTGTACGCCGTCTCGTCATCGTCTGTGATCTGGCCGATGACGGTCGTGTCATCAGCAAACTTCACGATGGTGTTGGAGCTGTGTGTGGCCACGCAGTCGTGGGTGAACAGGGAGTAGAGGAGAGGGCTGAGCACGCAGCCTTGAGGGGCACCGGTTGTTGAGGATCAGGGTGGAGGATGTGATGTTTCCCACCCGCACTGCCTGGGGTCTGCCCGTCAGGAAGTTCAGGATCCAGTCACAGAGGGCGCTGTTGAGCCCGAGGTCTCTGAGCTTGATGGCCAGCTTGGAGGGCACAATGGTATTGAATGCTGAACTGTAGTCAATGAACAGCATTCTCACATATGTGTTCCTGTTCTTCGGGTCCAGGTGTGAGAGGGCAGTGTGGAGGGTGAGGGCTATGGCGTCGTCTGTGGACCTGTTTGCTCTGTAGGCAAACTGCAGGGGGTCCAGAGATTCAGGGAGGGAGGAGGTGATGAATGATTTGACTAACCGCTCAAAGCACTTCATTACGGTGGAGGTGAGTGCTACTGGGCGGTAGTCGTTGGGGCAGGTGATGATTGTCTTTTTCGGGAAGTTATGCAGTTATGCAGTTATGCAGTTATTAATAACATCTAAAAAATGTAACTTAAAAAAAAAAAAAAATCCCCTTTCCCTCAAACTTTGCGTGACCCCCTGGTGGCCCCACACTCACTGGGTTAGGGTACAAGTGATGGGAGCGGACAGAATAGGGTTAATAACGAATATCTGCACTACATTGTACATTTTGACAATGACATTTATAGAGGTATGAAGACATCATAGTTTATACTGCTGCGACCCTTCAATTTATTGGAGTCTTTGATCGTGATTTTGACTCGCAGAAAGTTTGTTTTTTACCACAAATGTTCCTCGTAACAACTAATGTAAGATACAGTAGGTGTTATTTAATTTGAACCATTAATTATATCCTGTGAAAATAGTCTGACAAAAGTTTAGAGAGATTTAGGAGATATACATTGCTTCTTCTGTGAATAACATCCTTGTCCAGTGCTCACTTTGTTCTACATGTGATGGAATTGCTGCTGAACTTAAAGTGGACCTATCATGCGATATTTAAATGATATATTGTAGGGCCATACCTATATAAGGTATATTTATATGTTTCTGTTTTCAAAATACCAAACAGATCATGCATTTTAGCCATGCCTCATTTCGCTCTATGTGCTGTTTGCTGTCTACGGGTCTGATTCTGCTGACCACGCCCCCCTGCAGGAGAGGGGAGACGTGCTCTGATCAGCTGCTGGGCTGTCAGAAGAGGGGGAGAAAAAGAGATCTCCGTCCTTCGTGTTTTATTATATAGAGTCGTTATTCATTTGTTTTAAAGCTCAATAAATAACAAAGAAGACCTTTGACTGGCACTTTTCTAATTTTGTCCGGAAGATTTAAACTTTAACGGACATCTTGACCGGCGAAAGAAACTGAAACTGAAACTCTGCTGCACGGTCCCCTCGTTCCTTGGAAGAGGCGGAGAGGTGGGTGTTTGTCATCTGCTGGTGGACTAATCGGAGAGAATTACAGTGCTTGCCTCGACGGGGAGGGATTGCATTGCAGCGGGAGCAAACGCTTGCCTCGGGAGGGAGAAAAAAAGCCACAGCGGAGAATAAACAGAAGGGTAACCATGGTAACTATGGGCGGAAGTCTTCTTCACTGCTTTTGTGGCAGACTACAGCGCCACTTACAGGCCTGGCATATGTACTACAGCGTCTCCAGCGCTTTCGAGCGGCAATGGCCGGCCGTGGCCCAACCCCACATTCCCCTGATAGGTGGAGAGTTGGCCCAATAGCCGTAGCGCCACCGTCCTGACGTCAGGACAGTGTTCAAATCTGGATCAGTTTTTATCAGATCCGTTGCAGCCCCTTTTTTAGAGATTTGGGTATGGAGGAAAATAGAGAGGGTTGTGTTTTCTGACACTTGGTGAGTTCCCTGGAACACTGGGGACACATATTCATGTATAAAAGACGTACAAAAGTGCATTTTGCATGATAGGTCCTCTTTAACTAAGAGATTCTCAAAAGCACAGGAAGCCTTCACTGACTTTTTTCATTTGAATGTAACAGGTATGACCACCTCAGCCGGGTGCTGATGAAGGTGATGGATGAGCACCCTGATAATGCGGTGGACGTGATTGAGGACGTGAGCCGGGAAGTGAAGCGGGGTTTATTTGAAGACAAGCAGAGCACCCTGCGAGACCTCCCTCAGACCACAGCTGCTGAGCTGCTGGCTGAGCAGCAGCGCCTGCTCTTCTCTCGGCCAGAGGAGGCTGACCAGGAGGAGGAACTGGTACTGCATGCACCACACTGTACATTTGTCCTGGTGATTCTGAGGGGTTACATGTGTCACATTCAGGGTTAGGAGGGTTACTTTAAAAATGTATTGCTTAGGGGGGGAGCAGAGGGGGTCATGTCATCACCATAGTAGGATGAGTAATTTTGCAAGCCAAGGTCACACAGTTAAATCAACAATATCCTTTAATCGCTGAGTACAAACAGATACCATGTGATGCTAATATCCTCATACTATTGGCTCACAAGCCCTCCATACCTCAAATATCTTATATAGGTAAACAACACATCCATACATTTTAGAACAATTTAAAATGTTTTTACAATCATGATGTTTTTTCTCCAAAAAGCCATTATTTTATGCTGCACCCTTCTAAAAGCTTTGTGGGTGTATTCATTATTCTCAACAGTTGCTCCATTTTAAAATGAAAGAAATACAAGAGATTTAAAAGGGTACATATATATATTTATATAAACATGAGAATTGGAAGTGAAATGTCCAATAAAATATTCAAATAAAATAGAGTAAAAAAAGTTAGCATAAACATAAGAAGTAAAAAAAAAAAAGTGCAATAAAAAGATATTAAAAAAATAAAATACAAATATTTATTTAAACATTGGAAGTTAAAGTAAAATGTCCAATAAAAGATAAAATATTTATATAAACTTAAGAAGTTTAAGAAAAAATCTGCAATCAAAAGTTGTATCAAATCAAATAAAGATATTTATATAACATAAGAAAGTAAAGTAAAACATTTGCACATGATACTACAATATATATCAATGTAATCTTGAACCTTGTTTCTTGTTCTTCAACAGATGGACACACCTCTTCCTAATGTGAGTGAGGTTGCCTTCTACCTGGAGCAGGCTGGGGTGGGCCTGGGCAGAGAGGAGATGCAGAGGGTCTTCCTCGCACTCAAGCAGCTTGTTGAGAGCCAGGGGCTGCCGCGCTGCCGACTGTGGGGCAAGATCCTGGGGACAGAGAGCAGCTACATCGTGGCTGAAGCTGAGTACAGGGAGGGGGAGGAAGAGGAAGAGAACACGGAGGATGCAGCAGAGGATGAGGAGAGAGATGTAGAAAAGGAGGTGAGGAAGGGGAACGTTTTTAATCAATGTAACAGATCCTCTTCATTCTTTCTTATTCATCTTTCCTGATTTCTCTTGTTTTAATTGTTTGTGGCAAATGCTAAATAAGCTCCATCCTTTCGTCTTGATCTGTAATTATTGTGGTCTTGTGGGGGGCTTTGCTTTCAGATGAATCCACTTCCTCAATCCGCCTATAGACCCCCCCCAACAGTGCCAAAGGAGGCCCTAGGAACAGGTGCCAACAAGTTTGCTTTTTATGTGTGCAAAGAGCCCGGTCTTCCCTGGGTGAAGCTCCCTTCAGTCAGTCCCGCACAGATCACCGGTGCTCGTCAGATCCGTAAGTTCTTCACGGGGACGCTGGACACCCCCATAGTCAGCTACCCACCTTTCCCCGGGAACGAAGCCAACTACCTGAGAGCGCAGATCGCTCGGATCTCTGCCGGCACTCAGGTCAGCCCCCAGGGCTTCTACCAGGCCGGGGAGGAGGAAGGTGATGAGGAAGACGAGGCCCCTCGGGACAGCTTCGAAGTGAATCCAGACTTTGAGGGTGTTCCGGTTGCTGAGATGGCCGAGTCTCTGTCCACCTGGGTGCATCATGTTCAGCACATCCTGCAGCAGGTACGTCTGATGGAGGCAGGTGGATGGAGCGTTCTCTCAGCTGTATTTAATGCCTGAGTGTGGACTGCTTTAGGGTCGCTGTACGTGGGTGAACCTTGCTGTGAAACCAGGAGATGACTCCAATGAGGAAGGAGAGGGTGAGGAGAAGGAAGAGGAGCCTGATGAGCCTGAGCCAGAAGTTGGACCCCCTCTGCTCACACCCCTCTCCCAAGATGCAGGTTTGTCTTTGGAGATTTTTCTGCAAAACCTAATGAGATTTAATTTTCACTGGGGATCTGCTACTTTCTAAAAAAAAAGCTTCCAAATTGGAAATCCCACACGTCCCCTGCTGCTGCCCCTAGATTCCACCGGGTCCGTCTACGCCGTGTTACGGCCGCGTTACGGCCGCGTTACGGCCGCGTTACGGCCGCGTTACGGCCGCGTTGCGTTGAAGCTAAAACGAAAAAGCTCAATTCATCATGAAGTGCACAAACATTTGGTCCTGATAATCCAGGTATCAAAAAGTGCTGCTCATATCCATGAGACCCACTTCTACTTCCACTCAACTGCAAGTCTGGGGCAAATATTTCACTTTTTACAAAAAACATTTTGCATAATACTTTTGTTTTGGTACATATAGTTTATTTTGATGGCATTACTTTTAAATAAGCAATAGTTTGGATGCAGTACTTTTACTTGTAGCAGAGTATTTCTACACTGTGTTATTACTACTTTTACTCATTGCCTAATGAGTTAAAAAAAGTGTTTTTAATATTGGTGTCCCTCAGAAATGCTCAACATTCCTCCCTGGACCTCCAAGATGTCCTCCGTCCTCACCTCTCAGCACGCTCTAGCTGTGCTGCGCTCTAACCTCTGGCCAGGGGCATATTCATACGCTTCCGGAAAGTAAGTCAAAAGATCTGAATCCCCCTACTTTCTTGGTTTCCTGAAGGCAATGTTGTAATTCTTAACAACCATGCTCTGTCTCTTCATTTAGGAAGTTTGAGAACATTTACGTTGGATGGGGTCTGAAGTACTCAGGGGAAGGGTTCAGCCAAGCTGTCCCCCCACCACCACAGAAAGAATATCCCAGTGGACCGGAAATCACAGAGGCCCTGGACCCGTCGGTGGAGGAGGAGCAGGTGCTGAAGGAAGCTTTAGAGGAGCAGCAGGCCGCTCAGGAAGAGAAGGAGGACACAGACGACCCGGAGGAGGAGGATGACGACTGAGAGAACAGTTACACATTTTACATTTCTACATTTGAACTTTTAACTATTTATATGTAAGTAAATGGCCAAATAAATCAGTTTATTAAGCATGGATTGTTGTTGTTAATTGAAATAAGACGGGGCCTGCTAGCAAGTAAACATAGATGTTCATAATGCAAACCTTCAAATCGGCCCTATCATGCTTTTTGGGTTTTCCTTTTCCTGTAGTGTGTTATAGGTCTGTGTGCGTGTAATTGGTCTGCAAACGCTAAAATCCCTGTGTTTCCTCCAGAAGGAGTTTCTCTCCCCCCCCCTGCCTGAAAACGCTTCCATTAGACTCCTTTGTTTACTTTCATAACAAAATGACATCACTATCTCACACTCATATTTCTACATTGTACGTGAAAGGCTGAGGGGCGGGACATCTCTAAAAGTCATCACAACAGAGCCGGCCAGCGAACTAATCAGAGCAGACTGGGCTCTGGTTTCAGACAGGTGCTGCAGCACAGGCACTTTGAGAAAAATAAAGAGTTTTTTGTACATTTAAAGGTAAGGTAGGTAATTCACTTCAGAAACACTTTTTGTTATATTCCATGGAATACTCTTAACATCCCGATAGCAATGAATACATCAAATGCTTTGACAATAAATATATACAAATATTTCCTCTGTGGAAGCCGTGGCGCTGTAAAAAGTACGACCAATCATTTTAGCCGGCCCGGCTAAAATAACTGGATGGCCTACCTGCCTGTCAGCCTTCCATCTCGTGCACAAACTTATCTCGTGCCCTCATTGGTCATGTGCGCGTTCGTGTGTGTTGGAGGAGGGGCTCTGTAAGGAAGTCTGAAGGAAGGGGCAGATTTTTTTCGGCTGCGTACTTTCAAATTCTAGCGCACTCGAGCTGGTTTCTCCATTCTTACCTACCCTACCTTTAAGCAGAAAACACGTCACAGAGGTACAAAATACAAATATGAACCTGAACATTAGCATAATAGGGCCCCTTTAAGATGTTTAAGATTGAGGGAAATGCACTCGACGTGTTAGTTAGACCTTAAGGACACACACAATGGCTGATGCTGATTTTCTCTATTGTAAAGAAATGAATCCACACGTGTAAGCTTTTCTAGTCACAATCAAAAGTTCTTGGTATTACATTTACACCAACTTTATGCCAACATCAGCATAGCCATGCCCTGGATTGCTTTCCTCAGGCCCTATTGTATGGCAAGTACTGTGTGATAAGACGATTACATATGCTGTAAAAGCCCTTTAAATCAGATTAAAGATAATACCAACATATCGGAAACACAGTTTAGGTGGTTAAAGGGATTTTATCGACCCGTCTACATTTCCCCCAGTTAAATAGGAATCAGCAAGAGGGTGTCAGCAACTTAAAGGTCCCATACCATGTCATGCTTTTCCGGGTTATTACCCATCCCCTTGTGTGTTATGAAGGTTTTTATGCATGTAAACGGTCTGCAAAGTCACAAACCCTCAAAGTACACCCTGTAGCGAGTAAAACTCTAACACAGAAAAGACCTGTCTATGCTGCCCCAGAACGCCTCGTTATTGTTTTCTTCCTGGGTACAGTGACGTGCCCATACTTAAATGAACCAATCCGTGGAGCCGTTACGTTACCTCCGCAGAGCCGTTAGGTTAAGTCCAAATGGACCAATCCACGGACTTCCTCACACACACACACTCAATCTTTTCTCAGCTGCAGCTCCGCCGATTTCTCCTCCCTGAGACGGCGGGAGGCGGCGAGGAGTCGGTGTGTGAGCACACACACAAACTCCCAGCCAGGCTGCGGGTGTGTGTGTGTGTTCGGGCTGGGTTTCGCTGTGTCTCGCTGTCTCGCAGACGGCCACTAGGCTCACAGGGAGGGGGGGGCAGGAGCTCCAACAAGCCGTTTAGGACAGAGAGTGAATACACATACTATACAGAGATGCTGTATGAGAAACCAATGTGAGTTTGGAAAATTGCACAATATAAATCTATTTTAGTAGACCTCAACAATGGAATTATGATCAGTAGAAATGGCCATGACATGGGACCTTTAATGCAATTGCAGACCTTGCACAAGATAAAGTTAGCCCATGTGTACTATTAACTGACCTCCGCATGAAAATAGGTTATTTGAAATCAAATCAAATCAAATCAAGTTTTATTTATATAGCACATTTTTAAACGATTTTTGGTCGAGCCAAAGTGCTGTACATATAATAAAAATACCCTACAGTAAAGACACTTTACAGCAAATACAAACAGCACAGTTTGTTCAGAATATCAGTATGAGAAAAAACGACACCCTCTGTCCTTAGACCCTCACATCGTACAAGGAAAAACTTCCAGAGAAAAAACCCACATTTCAAAGGGAGAAATGGGAGAAACCTCGGGGAGAGCAACAGAGGAGGCATCCCTCTCCCAGGACGGACAGACGTGCAATAGATGCCGTGTGTAAGAGATAATACATTTTACAGCGTAGGTAGACCGAATGTTTGGAAATGCATGTGTCTATAATAGGAAGATGAATCCACGAAAATGTCAACAACAATCCTGTGGGAGCCATCAGGGAAGCAGCATGACGAGAGCCAGGCAGGACCGCAGAGACAGGCCCAGCCACGACCCGAAGTCCACGACTTAATCCAGAACTCAGGATAGAGGATCCAGGGCACAGGACCACAGCAAGAGGATCAGCCTCGACTCCGGATCCCGGCGTAGATATAGACACAAAAAGAAAAATTTGGCTGGGTTAATCGGAACATGACGTACGAGAGTACACAGACACATACTGATAGAAGGAAGAACAAGCACTCCCTAGGATAGGTTAAGGGAAAAGGGTAGCAATTAAGAGAGTAAGAAACAGAGGTGGAGAGGCACACTCAGGGAACAAAGGCCCCATTGGAGCCTTAGTTGGAATTTTAACTTAGACTACACAGTGAATACTGTTGTTTTTATTCAAATGATTAGGACAGTACATCAAATATACACGACTGCTACTAAAACAAGTTCTCAAATAATAGAGATAGCTCAAAATGAAAAGTTCAGTTTTTTAGAGATGAGAGACAAAAACATCTGCCTGTCATAGTATATTAATATATTTTTTTAAATGCTCAAACAGGACATTTATTCTGTAGGCTTTAAATATATGAATAATGTTTATTGTTCTATTTGTCTTACTTGTATGGGGTTTCGGATGTGCAGGGGGAATAACTGGCTGATTTCCATGTAATTTAATTTTGAGTAGTAACTAGAGAATGCAATTCCTGAAGAAATTGCTAGTGGGAATGCTTTATGCTGAAAATCTGACGCTAAACTGCTATGCTGAAATGTAATGTGTAAGAAGAAAGTGAACAATTTAGATTGAAATGATACATGAACACTGGGGGCTTGAATGTGTGATGAGAGAAGAAAAGAAAGTAAAAAGGCTTGGAAAAGCAGCAGAATATTTGAACTGCAAACTTTTGATCTAACTTGATGGTGAATGATCTGACGCCATGCCAACGGCATTTGATGACATCCCATAATACGCTTAGATGCGTTGATGGCTGCATCGTTACCAAACCTGTTTTGGGGGCGATCGGACCGTGTCCATTGGACTTACAGCGACATCGTGCTTCATGGCGAGTGGTCTGTCGCCATGGCAACGGCATTTGATGACACCCCATAAGACGCTTAGATGCGTTGATGGCTGCATAGTTACCAAACCTGTGAAGTTTTGGGCCGTTTGGAGCATTTTCACTGAAGTTATGAGAAAACCGTGTTGCCATGGCAACGGCATTTGAAGAAACCCCATAATTGACGTAGAGCTGTTGAGGGCTGGACCGGTGATATACAAGCGAAGTTTGGGGGGCGATCGGACCGTGTCCATTGGACTTACAGCGACATCGTGCTTCATGGCAAGTGGTCTGTCGCCATGGCAACGGCATTTGATGACACCCCATAATACGGTTAGATGCGTTGATGGCTGCATCGTTACCAAACCTGTGAAGTTTTGGGCCGTTTGGAGCATTTTCACTGAAGTTATGAGAAAACCGTGTTTCATGGCGAGCATTGTGTTGCTATGGCAACGGCATTTGAAGAAATCTCAAAACTGTCTCGTTGATGTCTTCACGGCTGGATTGTTAGCACACATGTGAATTTTGAGCACTTTTTGAACATTTTCATAGGAGTTAAAGGGACATCGTGTTTTATGGCGAGGGATGCGTTTCCATGGAAACGGCATATGGTGAGATTTCAGATTTGGCGTAGAGCTGTTGAGGCATGGACCGGTGATATACAAGTGAAGATTGGGGGACGATTGGACCGTGTCCATTGGACTTACAGCGACATCGTGTTTCATGGCGAGTGGTCTGTCGCCATGGCAACGGCATTTGATGACACCCCATAATACGCTTAGATGCGTTGATGGCTGCATCGTTACCAAACCTGTGAAGTTTGAAGAGAGAGAGAGAGAGTGTGAGTATGAAATGAACAGTTAGAACTGACTGCTGTCAGTGCAGCAGTTTATATCCCAGTGAGTAATACACATATAAAGAAAAGGGTAACAGACCATGTGTCAGTATACACGACAGAGTTGTTGGCATTGGTATTGGCATTGAAATGGATAGAGGAGAAAGAAATACATAATAGTGTAATTGCATCTGACAGCTTTTCAGCATTATCAAGTATACGATCAGGCAGATCTTCATTTAGAATGGACATAATAAATGAAATATTTCTAATTTTATATAAAATGCAAATCAAAGGCATAGCAACTCGTTTAATCTGGGTTCCTGCTCATGTTGGTGTGGAGGGTAATGAACAGGTGGATATTCTGGCCAAACAAACACTCAGAATTATGAACATAGACATAGAAGTTCCACTTAGCAAAGCGGAGGTTAAAACATTCATACATAAATATGCACAAACAACATGGCAAGAACATTGGGACCTTAGTGATACAGGAAGACATCTTTATAAAATTCAAAGGTATGTGGGGGATGGAAGGAAGGTGGGGTTTAAAAGAAGGGAGGAAAATGTCATTTCTCGGATGAGAATAGGTCATACAGGGCTCAATCATACATTAAGTAGAATAGGAAAGCATCCAACCGGAAAGTGTATACACTGTAGCCAGCCAGAAACTGTTTTGCAGGAAATATAGTACTAGCTTTTCCAGACACTGAAGAAAGCAAAATTCCATGACTTTTCGCTATCAGGGCTGTTAGGGAAAACATCAGGCAATATGTATGTGAGATTATTACGTTTCTAAGAGAAATTGATACATTTAAAATAATCTAGAGTTTTGGTTCCTTTTTTGTTTTGTTTTGTTTTGTTTTGTTTTGTTTTGTTTGTTTGTTTGTTTTTATTTGTTTTTATTAATTTTGTTTATTGTTTTCTGCATAGTCTCTTGTCCACACTCCAGTCCAGTTGGTGGCGGTAATGCACCTACAAGTTGGTTTGCCAACCGCCAATAAACACCAAAGAAGAAGAAGAAGAAGAAGACTGCTGTCAGTTGGAGTGATGACATCATCGTGTTCCATTACACAGGTGTTTATAGTTGAGCTAACGAGCTCTGTAGAGATCAAAGGTTTGCATTGTTCTGAATGAGAGATAAAGCTCTTACATGTGAACGTTTTGTGGAAGAACCATAACAGATATCTGTGAAATTTCAAAACGTGAAGCATGTCAAGGAAGTTGAGTATCTGAAGTGTAATTTTTGTGTACTTTCGGGTTAATAATGTGGCCTTTTTGGCAGTTTAACTACAGTAAAGGTGTGCGGCTGCTGCTGTGAGGAAATATCAGCCTGAAATTACAATGGGTTTTAATGGAGACATGTTGAACGTTTTTGTCACTTCATGCCCTCAAGAGCCATTTTGTTTCATTATTTTGCTTAATTATTTGTCATTTTTCAAGCTACGAGATGTTTTCCTACGTTTGTCATGAAAAATTATGTCTCAGGAATGTAGGGTTTGGGAATTATGGCAGTTTTTAAAAAAAAATATGAAGGCAAATTTCAAGATTTCCTACCCTCTAGCTGTGACATCACGCACTCTAGTTAATGTTCAAATCTGAAGAAAGCCTCTTTACCAAGGTCTGAACAATGTTTAATATCTCTAAAAGTAAGAATCAGATTTAAAAGTTGTGTTACACGAATAATGTCAGAAAGATGTGTAACATTTTAAAGTTGGAATGAGGTTTCTGAGTGAAAGTATGAATGAACAGTTAGCAGTTGAAGTCGCATGAAGATTGTTCAAGTCTGAAGATTTTCTCCATTGACTTCAATGGTTAAAAATGTGATGAATTATGGGATGTATCTCTGGAATTATGAAAGTTATGAATGATAAAAGTAATAGCCATCGATTCCCGACCGAGCTGAACGTTTTGATGTTTGAACGGAGTTTCTGCGATGTTGAATGCAGGAGGAGAAGAGGTGCAAAGTTCCGGCGGAATAATAATAATTTTGTCCGTAGAAGAACATATAGTGGGAATGCTGTATCAGCATTCCCACTAAATAAGTTGTGTGGTATGAATAAAGGTATAGAATAACATAACAAATGTGCTCATTTGTATTCCACCCTGCGCTATTGGTAAACCATTTCTCTGGCTAACCTCAAACTTTTCAATTAACCTTCAAAACATTCTCTAGCAGTCGTTGCATAAAAACATTTGTACGTCATCAAACGCTGCCGGAAGAACGTATGTCACGTGCGGTAGAAAGCTCCAGATCAACATGGCGACCTGCATGAAGATGCTCGGCGCTGCTGGACAGCTCCACAGAAACTGGGCTAGTTTAATGAAATTAAAATGTCCCGGCAGCAGCAGTGGCATCAGTCGGACCCTATGGACCGACACACCCGCACCGAGCCGGCTCCAGCCCCCCCGGTTCTCCTCCAGCTCTCCGCTCAGCTCCGCGATGAAAGCTGGCTGCAGGCTGACCGTCAGACCTCACCGCTGGATGCGGGTCGGTGCCGTTCTCCATGGACGGACCGAGCTACTCTCAGCGAACTCTCCACCTTACTGGGTCCAGGACAGGATGTACGGGAACCGGGCCGGCGGCGCGGGGTTCTCCGGGGACGGAGGGGACAGTACCGGCTCTGGGGGAGAGGAGTCCGGGGGAGAAGGGGGAGTACCGTATAATGGACCACAGATGACGGCTCTCACCCCCATGATGGTCCCGGAGGTGTTTCCGAATGTCCCGCTGATCGCTGTTAGCAGGAACCCGGTGTTCCCCCGCTTCATCAAGATCATAGAGGTGAGGGGCTGTGCTGCGTTCAAGGACACGGGATGATGCAACCACACAGCAACATGTAATCTGTGGAGGAAAACTCATCATCTCTCTCTTACTTTATCTTAATGTCTCTATGTGTCTCTTTAATATTCTATCTGACTCTCTCTCTCTAAATACAGTCTATACAGTATGTCTCTCTTTATCTGTCTCTCTTTATCTGTCTCTCTCATATGTATCTGTCTCTAACTGTCTCTAAAATTCTAATTTAAATAGCTTTATTGGTATGACCATAATGACATTATTGCCAAAGCATTTTACAAATATGACAATGACAATAGCATCTTTACATATTCATTTGGAAAATACCCTTAAACTATTTCCTTTACTCCATCCCGTTTCTTAAACGTTTTAAGTGACTAAAAAGAAAAAGAACAACATAAATCATTATATTGCAGGATATAACACATATTCACATAATACATAACTAAAAATTAAACAAAAGAGATGTAAATTGAGCATTTCAGTTAGATTCCCTCATGTTGTGCAGGCAGACGCATAACTTGTCTCATGTAAAAGTGTGTGTCTGTCCCTCAGGATGTGGCATGTTGAAACCTATAGGGTAGCAATATTCCTCTTCTTCTTCTCCTACTAGTATTTTTAATTTTGAGATGTCATAACGTTTTTGAAACCTGGGATTACAGAGTTAAATACATGTTAGTTGTTTCATTGAACGTTTCACATTTTAGAAAGGAGTGCATCTCTGACAAACAGCTTCTTTAAATATGGAAAATATGTTGATTAGATGTGTAAGACAGAAAATGAATTGTGGATGGAGACTTATTATGACGAATCATGTTGGGTACATCAGATATTTCAGCAGAAGACCAAAGCTCCTAGGTCTGTGTTTTCAGTGCTGAGTCGCAGTGTGTGATGAGTGTGTGTTTGTTGCTTTCAGGTGAAGAACAAAGAGCTGATGGAGCTGCTGAGGAGGAAGGTTCGTCTGGCCCAGCCGTATGCCGGAGTCTTCCTGAAGAAAGATGATAGGTAAGTGGAAACATGGCTGCTGTGATCACTGATGGTCGGAGCTTTAGCACTTTTTTGTGTGAAACTTCAGTGTTAATTGGATAGCTTGTCTGTATGCTCAACATTTATTTTTGTTGCAACTTCACAATAAAAGCTTTGGATCAATTTGCCAATAGGAGACTTTTATTTTGAATCAGCTTCAGGAAGTCAGAAATCAGGTTTATTTACATATTTGCTTTGGTGCACATGTAAACACAATAAGATGAATTAGGTTTTAAAAAGGAGCAAATATTGAAGAAATATAAATTTTTTTTTTACAAATATAAAATAAATATTTACAATAACTACATATATATATATACATTTTTTCGAAAAATAAGTACGGCAAGAATATGACTAATTACTCGGAAAAATAAAACATGTGCAATAAATCAGAAATTAAAGTGAAAGAGCCGTGCACTTTCAAAATAAGAATTATCGAACATAAATCTGCAAAATTATACTGTATAATTTGCCAGGTTATATTTTGTAAGAGGAATGGTTACATCATGTAACACATGACGTAACGCATAGTTAAGCTAGGCTAAATGAAATGCTCGTTGATACTATGGGTACTTGTAAATGTCTATAACTATGTAAATGTATCCTGTAAATATAATGTATGATGTCCTTTATTGTTTTATGTTTCATGTGGAACCTATATGCTGCAGGTCTCCCTTGAAAAAGAGATCTATGATCTCAATGGGACCAATCTGGTTAAATAAAGGTTTGAAATTAAATGAAATAGTAATGTGGGAGGGGTTAATAGTCAGTGTCAGTATTTTCAACTGTTTTTGAAAGGGAGTACATTTCTGTGACATTAGAGGGGCTTTATTAGAGTCAGAATCATCTTTAAAAACAGGTTTATTGCCAGGTAGGTTCACACATACACATACTTGCTTTGGTGTATGTGCGGTTCATACATAGACACAGTAATATACATTTAATTGTAAGAATAAAATATCACTTTTATAAAAACTATTTTAACATTAAAAAATATAGAGAAATATTTACACAAAATCTAGATATGCAAAAAACTAAGAACAGAAAATATAATTGGTTGTCTTTTTTTTTGTCATTTTTTACAGTAGTTATTTTTTAATATATTTATTTTTGGTTATTTTCTTATAATTTAATTTCTCTTACTGTGTCTATGTATGCACCATACAAGCAGATTCCTTCCTGGAGGACTTGTTTTCATCTTGTCTTTGGTCTGCAGATAATCTTTCCATCCATCATTTGTATCTGCTTGGATCTACTTTAATGGGCAGTGTGTCATGAAGACTAATCAATGAGTGCAGTGACCTGTGAAATGGGCTAACAACACGTCTGTGTGTCTCCTGCAGTGATGAGTCAGATGTGGTGGAGTCTCTGGATTCCATCTACTCTACAGGCACCTTTGTCCAGATCCATGAGATGCAGGACCTGGGAGACAAGCTGAGGATGATCGTCATGGGACACCGCAGGTTAGAAACGGGCGTAGTCATTGGTTGGATAGAAAATGTATAGACTTTTTCTTACAAGTCAAACAGTTTCCGTACCTTGTGTGGACCTCTGCTCTTTACATGTTATCCTTTGTCAGGATCCGGATCACTAAACAGCTGGAGGTGGAGCCTGAGGAGGTGGAGGCGGAACCTGTGTTGTCCGAGTCTGAGACAGAGTCCCAACCCAAAACAACACCCAGACGCAGATCCAAACAGAACCGCAAGGACGCGGCGGCCCCTGCAGCGGAGCAGGTCCAGGAAAAGGTTTGTGACATCTGAAGCCTTTACACATGCTGTCGGTATGTAACAACAACAACACGCTCTCCATCTGTGACCTCCATCCTCCATGGTAAAAATAGCCTGATTTGAGCTGTGTGGCCATGAGTGTATTTTTTCAGCAAACATTGATTTAAGCTTTGAGTGCTGTTCGGCTAGCCTCCGCACAAAGACCACCGGACTCTGGGACAGTTTTTTTTATCACAAAGGCAATAAGATTGTAGACTCCTGAACCCACCACTCACATACTGTATGTCAAACTTTTTTTCTTTTTACTTCTGTATCAAAATCTGAAATCCTTTATAACTGTGTGAAAGACCCGAATGTATGCACAAGTTTTAGACCAATATCACTTATAAATTCAGAAATCAAACTTATGCCAAAGTAATAGCTCGACGATTGGAGAAAGTCCTTCCAACATTAGTTCATTATGACCAAACAGGCTTCATGAAAAACCGATTCTCATCAGATAATATCAGGAGACTACTGCATGTTGTTCATTTTGCAGCAGACATAACATCGCCTTGCGCTGCATTATCAGTTGATGCTGAAAAAGCTTTTGATAGGCTAGAATGGCCATTTTTGTGGCATACAATGCAAAGAATGGGTTTTGGGGCAAAATGTATGATTATGTTGAAGATCCTATATAATAATCCAAGTGCTATGGTTCTGACAGGCAATCAGTGGTCACCTAGATTTCCAATTCTACGTGGCACACGGCAAGGTTGCTCCGTCTCCGCGCTTCTGTTTGCAATTTCTCTAGAACCGCTTGCACAGAAAATAAGACTATCCAAAGAAGTAAAACAGATAGTTGTAAAAGAGACAGACCACAACATTTCGTTATATGCGGATGATCTACTACTGTACTTGGACGAGGTACCAACTACGCTTCCTAAGCTGTTAAATATTTCTACCCAATTTAGTTCAATATCTGGTTACAAGATCAATTTGAATAAATCATGTCTTTTACCCCTCAATAGTGCCATGGTTGAACTAAACCTAAATACAGAATTGCAGATCGTCCAACACTTTTAAGTATTTGGGAATCGATATATATGCCTCATTAGACACAATAGTAGCAAAGAAGTACAAAAGAATGTATACAACAATTAAAGATTACCTAAAAAAGTGGATTAATATAACAATTTCTTTAGCAGGACGAATTTGAATCGTAAAGATGAATGTTCTACCAAGAGTCAATTTCTTAGCTAGTATGTTACCTTTATCTCCACCAGACGGTTTTTGGGACAAACTTCAGAATAGGATTTCAAAATATATTTGGAAAAACCAATACCCAAGAATCAGATACAAAGTTCTACAATATGACAAAAACAGTGGAGGCCTTAATGTTCCCAATCTCGAGCTCTATTATTATTCCTTCACGCTTCGAGCCTTGAAAAACTGGATGGATGAAAGCACCAATGTACCTTGGATTAAAATTGAAAGAAGTATAGTCTATCCCCTTAAACTTGGTGATGTCTTATTTTCTGCCATGTCGCCATATGACTGTATGCAAACATTTGGACCAATTATTGGCCAAGCTGTGAAAGTGTGGAAACATGTAGAGAAATTGTGCAATTGGTCTGTAGATTGGCATAGTAACATACACATTTTTCATAACCTGTACTACGTATTGGAAAAAAAGCAATCCAATTCCCACAATGGCAAACCCGAGGAATAGGAATGGTTACCGAGCCCCAGTATTAAACGGGCCCTGGGGCTGAATTATTAAATACCGTGGTACCGTTAAGCTCTGACGTTATCGGTCTTTTTATCGGTACTGGAGACATGTAAAAAATATGTCATGTGTATTATTGCTACACAAACATTATGTTGCAGTTTTAGTGTCGCCAACTCCGTTTCTAATATGCAATAAGACTACGAAATGCATCTATGATTATTTTCGATCTTTCCAATCCAGACGAGAGATCTCTCTCTCCCGCCTGTGTGCGAGGGGGCGGGGCAGTTTACACACACGCTCTGCTACATGCAGCAACACACACACACAGAGGAGATGGCGGAGAGAACGCGCTCCGAGGTGTGGTTAAACTTTACCCGTCTCGATGTGGACAATGCTCGTTACCAAAAGTGCAATAAGAGTTTAGCATGTAAGGGCGGTAACACAAGCAATTTGTCTAAACATTTAGCAAAAGTGCACCACATTCAGACGGAGAAATGCACCGGGTTCGACTGTCTCTCTAGTAGCTCTGTAGCCCCATCCACGAGTAACGTTTCCACGTCAGGTGTTATGTATGCTAGCAGCAACACACGGAGCTAACTCAATTATACAAACATGGGTTAATGATTAGAGGCAACTGAGTTATTTATTTTGTTAAAGTTTCAGCTATACTGTCATCAGATTATTTAATACGATTTGTTAAAACATTGTTGTTTCTTTTGATGTGAAATATTATGTATTTAAATAAAAAGAAATGTTAGTTTTGTTCACAATTTGTTAGTTAATTTACCTTATTTTTTCTCTCCAAAAGAACCGATAAAAGCACCGTTAAAGGACCGGATCGATAAGCGGTATCGATAAAAGTAGTAGTATCGTTAAAACCTTAACGATACCCATCCCTACCAAGGAATAAATTATCTTTCTGACATAACCAACGACAACGGCTTGATGTCCTTCCAATAATTGAAAGACACGTATAATGTGCCTGGCTCTTTTTTCTTTTTCTATTTGCAACTACGTACTGCCATGCGCACATATGGAGTTCCTTGGAATCAACCTCTGCCAATACATCAATTAGTTAAGGTCATATTAAGTTCAAACGGTGTGAGCGGCACTACTTCATATATATATATATATATATAAAAAGCTGCAAGATAAACTAACTGGATATATTGGCATCTCTGCAGTATGGAACGCAGGTCTAAAAAATGACACGCAGACTATTGATTGGAAGAGAATATGGAATAATATCTCCTTAACATCGCGTAACCACAATCACCAATTGATACAGTATAAAACGATACACAGATATTACCTGTCAACCAGAAAATGCTGTCAATTAAGGATGATTCCAAGCCCCATATGCCTTCTCTGTAACCAAAAGACTATTGGCACATATGTACACATGGTTTATGAATGTACTGCAGTAAGAACGTTCTGGAAACAAGTTATTGACATTGTATCTGAGATTATTGGAGTTCACATACCCTGTCTCCCAAATATTGTATTGTTGAATGATGATTCTTCTCTTGACCTACAGAACCATCAGAAAAGGGTGCTTTTCGCTGGTCTAACAGCAGCCAAAAAAATAATTGTAATACGATGGAAACCCCCACATACTTAGACCTATTATGCTATATTGGAAAAATATATTGTAGGGCCATACCTGTACAAAACATGTCTGTGAAGTTTTTTGCTTAAAATACCAAACAGATCACCCATTATAGCCATGCCTCATACTGCTCATACCACTCTTTTGCAGCCCTGTTAGAGAAACGCGGATTTTGGGTCCTTAGCTTGAAAAAAAAAAAAGATGAGGCGGAGCTAATGCCTGATCAGAATTCTACCGGAGATAAAGTTAAATTCTGCTGTGATAAAACGCCATCCTGTTCGAAACCACATCAAAAATTATTTCTGAAACAGTATGGAGCTCAAATGCTTTTTCTCGTGCGGGTTTATCACAAGGTGAGTTCCTTTTTTTATTTCCTGCTTTTTAAAGACATGTGCTCTACAGAACAGGTTAGCTCTGAGTGTTAGCGAGGCTTGCTAATGTAAACTAAAACGAGATTACGTCCAAAACACGTCAGGCATTGTTTCTGATAGTAACTTTCTGTGGGTCCGCCGCCGATTTGACGTCAGATCGGCAGCAAATCTGTATCCGCTCGTTGTACCCCCGTTTTTAAAAGATTTGGGTACGGAGGAAAAGAGAGAGGGTTTTATTTTCTGACACTGCGTGAGTTCCCCGACGCACCGGGGACACATATTTATGTATAAAAGACATCACAAAGTGCATTTTGCATGATAGGTCCCCTTTAAGTTTAAACAGATTAAATGTTAAGTGGAAAAAAAAGGAATGAATGTATTTGATGTGGATACATTGTTATGCTATAATATAAATAATATATATAATATAATAGATAGATGAACTCAGACGAATGCAAACAAACATCAGGTAGGATTTTCTGTGAAATGGCAAGATGGGTGGGAAGGGGGAGGGACAAGTGGCATGGGAAAGGGATTCCCTATATTATTTTTTTTCTTTTTGTATTATTGTCTATATAATTTGTATCTGTGTATATAAGTCCCTCTGCGAGGGCAAAAAACAATAAAAAAATTAAAAAGTTGGTCACAAAAAAAGAACTGTGTTAAAGCAGCAACAGTACGGTGCAGAAAAATAAAAAGGGTTGACTAATATATTAATATTAAACAATAAGGCAAAGTTCACCATGGTAAAAGAGATACGTTGCAATATTTAAAAACATAAGTTAATTAAGACAATAACACCTTTGAATGAAATATATAAATGCAATTACATTACCCAAAGCGACTTAAATACACTTAATACCGCATGCGGGCAGTCCCCACAGGAGCAATTTGGGGTGAAGTGTCTTATCAAATGACGGCACTTAAAGCAAAGAAGTACAAACAAATAAAAAGGTCGCTCTTTCTCTCTGTTCAGTTCTTTAGACATATCCACATTTTTCAGAAACTGTTATATAGAAGCCACAAAAGGGCAATGACGGTGCTTTATCCAATGGGGAAATTCATCTAGCTGTAGTAAAATGATGATGAATTGTAGTTTTATATAAGGTTGTGATTTCAGCTCTGTTGTTTTTTGTCAGATTTCAGAAGCAGACCTGACTCCAGAGCTCCAGCCTCTGTCCTCCTCTGACATCCTGATGGTGGAGGTGGACAACATTCAACACGAACAGTTCACCGTCACAGAGGAAGTCAAGGTACAGAACTCACATTCCAGGGAACCAACAGGAGGGAAATGGAAAGATGAAGAAACTAATCTGATGTGTGTGTGTATGATGTGTGTGTTCTGCAGGCGCTGACCGCAGAGATAGTGAAGACCATCAGGGACATCATCGCTCTGAACCCACTCTACAGGTCTGTCCTAACTCCTTACTGCATTATCTGTCACAATCTGTCATCAAAACGTTGTATCATTTTCATTTTGGTTGTGATTATTTAGATTTAGCGATTTATACGAACATAGTAACACTTTAGCCTGTTCCCATTTTTCTTTCAGCTGTATCCACATCATTTTTACATAGAAAGAAAATATGAATACAAAAACAATTAAATAAAATGGAGCAGGTGGAGAATTGTATGCACAGTACGGCAAAATTATTGTAATAATGCATTTACACACTAACCTCTCTTTTTTTATTAACATTATTTAATTTGCTATTCGCAGATTTCGCACTTAGCCTTTAATGTTCTTAAGGCAATTTCGATGTAACTTTTCATTTGCCTTTCTATGTGAGAATGTAATGTGTAGTCAGTATTTGATTAAGTCTCAGATCAGCAGGAAGGTATCCAAATGTGATGATGCTAAAATATAAGCGGTCTCCTTTCTGAAATGTTCTTGTGTGTGTGTGTGTGTGTGTGTCAGAGAGTCGGTGCTCCAGATGATGCAGGCTGGGCAGAGAGTGGTGGATAATCCCATCTACCTCAGTGACATGGGAGCAGCTCTGACAGGAGCCGAGTCCCAGGAGCTGCAGGACGTCCTGGAGGAGACCAATGTGAGCATGACTCGTGGTTCATATACAATTAAGCTGCAAAACCAGCCAGTTAGACTTCAACAACTCTATCCTAATCGGAAACAATCTATTTAGATGTGCATCATCAGAAAGGGATTATTGCTGCCCAGTTTTTCGTTTTGAGCCCGTCAGCCACTAGGGGCAGCATTTAGCCCATTCCACAATTGAACAAAAATACACATGGCTCAGTTTGAGTTATTGAGACAGTTTTAAGTGGGTTAATTGCCAATAAACTTCTGGTCTTCTGATAAAGAACAGCAGCTTTTCTATTTACATGTTTTATATCTTCACACACACACACACACACACACACACACACACACACACACACACACACTCTGTAGATACAGCTAAATGAAAATGGATATATTATAAGTTTGTACAATGAAATTTAAGTAAAAACTAAGTAAAGAAAATATAAATAAACAAACAAACAGTATACATACAGTTTATATACATATATCAGGGTTTCCGTTAGCCGGTAATTACTGTTTTTTTTTTAGCTGGTAAAATGTATTAAAAACCGGTAAATTCAAAACCTGCCGGTCAAAATGTCCGGTAATAATTAGGGATGTTCCGATCGATCGGCCGCCGGTCATTATCGGCCGATATTCACTCTTAATAGTTTGATCGGCTCTATAAAGGCCGATCAGGAGAGCTGGATCTGATCGATATGGACATAAACGCGAGTGAAGTATAACCGGACGCGAGAGAGAGATCAGATCAGCTGCGGAGTCTGACGGAGACACGCAGCTCTGCATGATCACCTGAAGCCGCGCCCACTGTTTAGCGAGCTGCATGAGAAACTGACGGGCTGTCAGGAGAGAGAGGGAGGGAGAGAGGAAAAGAGAGGATCCGTTTCTCCCGTGTTATTATTCAAAGTTAATGTAAACTTTTGAATAATGTACTTCATCTACTACAAGTACCGGTAGTTTGTTTGAATGTAATAATTATGTTGTTTGTGGAAGCGCATCATTTATTGAAAAATGAATCTGAATTTTTCGATCTGTTACGATTATAAACTGAAGCAATATAAAAATGAGCCCCATTAACTGAGTTTTAAATATCAGCATATCCGGTCATAGTCCGGTAATTACCTGCTAACGGAAACTCTGCTACACAATTCTTATTATTATTATTGAAACATGACCGGTAAGTTTCAAATTTGTCCGGCAAAATAAATTCTGTTCGGACATTTGACCGGCAAGAAAAAATCCTTGCGGAAACCCTGACATATATATCTACAGAGTATAGAGTACACATAATACAAATACACAATATAAATATATACAGAATAAGTTAGTCACACTTTAGCAGACTAACCTACTGCTACTAGATAAACTATAAACATAGGATATATACGAACGAGGATGTGAAAAAAAGTTGAATTTCTAAAATAAAATGTAATACTTTTTGCATTATACTGTATACATCTCTATAGTGTATTCAATATTTATAGTTTTGTTAATAGTGTTTGTGACCATTAATACTATTGAAACTGTATATACTTTGGATATTTTGTATCTGTCAAATATTTATACTTTAATTCTACCTATAAATTAAACTGCTCTTTGCTGCTTCTTTTGCACTTCTGGTTAGAACTGCAGTTGGTTGTCCCAGTGCAATGATAATGAAGTTGAATCTAATATAATACCTTCTTGATGTGTCGCGTGTAAATGCTATGAAAGCTGCTGTGTGTCTCTGCAGATCCCGAAGCGTCTGTACAAGGCTCTGTCTCTGCTGAAGAAGGAGTACGAGCTGAGCAAACTGCAGCAGCGGCTGGGCCGAGAGGTAGGGGGTCGTCACTGAACATGGAGGCTTTATACACCGCTCTGCTGCACCCCCCTCACTCCTTAATGTGTGTCCTTGCTCTGCTCACAGGTGGAGGACAAGATCAAACAGACCCACAGGAAGTACCTGCTGCAGGAGCAGCTCAAGATCATCAAGAAGGTAGAGAAGAGCGTCCGTCTGTCCGTCACTGTGTCCCTCAGACCTGCAGCTTCATGTGTTTAATGTGTGTGTGTGTGTGAGCAGGAGCTGGGTCTGGAGAAGGAGGACAAAGAAGCCATCGAGGAGAAGTTCAGAGAGAGGCTCAAAGAGAGGACGGTCCCACAGCACATCATGGACGTCATCAACGAAGAGCTCAACAAACTGGGGCTGCTGGACAACCACTCCTCAGAGTTCAAGTGGGTGTTGTGTATTTCTTGTCCGATCAGTGTAAGACAGTCTTTGAATAATTCTGTCATTTGGTTGACTTCCATCTGGATACTTCATGACTACCCTCTCTAGGATAAACTTAAAGTGTCATTTATATTCGTAAGTTCTTGTTTGTTTTTGTATTGTTATATTCTAATTGTTACAAATGGGTTTACCCTATTCCAGGTGTTGACATGATTACATGTGACAAATCATACATTCAATTTTGACTGGCAAGGAAGATTTGAAATTAATAATAATAATGTTTTGAGGAAGTAACTTTTCTCAGCAGGTTTGCTAGTGGTTACATGCTTAGGCTGCACAATTAATAATCAACATTTATTTTTATCACAATCGCAATACGGTCTAGTGCAATATCCAAATCGCAGGATGTACAATATTTGTTAAATGCTAAATATGTATTAAAATACAATTTCCATAAAGTGTTGTGGAGTTGCAGAGGTATTCCTGCCAAAACATGTTCGGTACAGATCCTATTTAAAAAATCACACCATAATAACTTATTCTCTGAAAAAGAGAAGTATAAATAAATCGCAGTTTGTTTGTTTTTTTCAAATCGTGCAGCCAGGGTACATAGGGTGTGTTTCAGAGAGAAACACGGACAGTAGACAGAACTTGGATGCATGTAAACGGGTCATTATTGCAAAAAAGATTCCACAGGGAAGCTTTAATGTTAAAATGTACGTAGCTTAGCTTCATCATTAGTATGCCGCTGTCGCTCTGTCAATATAACCGACCAATGAGGATAAACAAACCAACCTCAACAACTGCTTTGTGTTTCAGTGTAACCCGTAACTACCTGGACTGGCTGACCAGCATGCCCTGGGGGACCTACAGTGAAGAGAACCTATCCCTGGCAACAGCCAAAGACGTTCTGGAGGAAGACCATTATGGGATGGATGATGTCAAGAAGCGCATTTTGGTTAGCAACACACAAACACATACCGTTCAAATATCCACACATCAGAGCTTTTTCTGATGCAGATGAACATGACCTCCTCTCTCTCTGCAGGAGTTCATCGCAGTGAGCCAGCTGCGGGGCTCCACCCAGGGGAAGATCCTGTGCTTCTACGGGCCCCCGGGTGTAGGAAAGACCTCCATCGCCCGCTCCATAGCCAGAGCCCTCAACAGGCAGTACTACAGGTTCAGCGTGGGAGGCATGACTGATGTGGCCGAGATCAAAGGACACAGGTGTGGAACGCTTAACTGCTTTTATCATTACGGAACGTCCTAATGATAGCTTACACTGTCAGTATCACACACATGGCTCCCTCTCTGGGCAGGATTGGGTCATTCAATGGGGGAACATTTGGATAAGGACTAGAAATAACTGGATGTGATGAGTTACAACTACAGATGCACTAAAAAAGGCAAAATGTTAAAGAGGCCCCATCATGCTTGATGGGGTTTTCTCTTTCCTGTAGTGTATTATATAGGTTTATGTGCATGTAAATGTTCTGCAAAGAACAAACAACCTTTTGCTTTTGAAATAACCTCATTTAAAAATATATGTATTTCTAATATGTTAACTAATAAAGAGCAGGCTGTGTCTTTTATAAACTAGCATGTACAGGCTACGAAATAAATTATTTCAATTCCTCCTCTCTGCTAACGCTGTGGTTAAGAGATGACAGGACCAGAAGCTGGTTGCTTGCAAATTAGCTACAGTATTAGCATAATGAGTTTGGTATGGCTGTGTAAAACATATTGGTTGTTGATAAAAGGGGACAGCAAGCTTACTGCGAGTTAATGTGCTGCTTATTCAGTAAATGTTTCATCAACAGCTGTTACTGCTTGCCTTACTGGTGGATTTAACATCATATTGTGCAAGAATAATTACACTTTCTTGTTTATTGGCTAATATGTATCATCCAGATATAGTTTACAGTATAATGTGAGTCCCTTGTTATAATTTGATGAAATATGGGGGCATGCTTTATCTTAAATTTGATGTGGGTGTGTCTGCAGGAGAACGTATGTTGGTGCGATGCCAGGGAAGATTATCCAGTGCCTGAAGAAAACCAAGACCGAGAACCCTCTGGTGCTCATAGACGAGGTCAGTATAACATGTCAGTTATCTAGCTCTCAGCAGCAAGGGAGCGGGAGTCAATGACTGTTTGCAGAGCCCTGAAACACTGCATCCTAACCACAGAGCCTTGTTTATGTTAAGTTTATCGATATTGAACGTTTTGCATGTCAAAATGGAACAACATCGACAAATAACTCCCTTGAATCCCGAGCAACACTAACTTGGTTCCCAAAATATCCCTTATCGCCCCTGTCATTACCAGGTGGACAAGATGGGGCGCGGTTACCAGGGCGATCCATCCTCTGCCCTGCTGGAGCTGCTGGACCCCGAACAGAACGCCAACTTCCTGGACCACTACCTGGATGTTCCTGTAGATCTGTCAAAGGTAAAAGCGTGTCCTCTTGTGTACATTTCCCAAGTCACTGCTACGTAGTGCGTAGTAAAGCTCCTGTGGAGGTTTCCTCAGAACAAAGTGAAAGGGTAAAAGTTGTGTAAGCCTGCCTTTCTCGTCTGCTCCATTCAAGATTCTGTTTATCTGCACGGCCAATGTGATTGACACCATCCCAGAGCCCCTCAGAGACAGGATGGAGATGATCAATGTGTCTGGATATGTGGCCCAGGAGAAACTGGCTATTGCTGAGGTAACACCAACACCAACGGATATATATATATTCATAGTTCATCATTTCATGCTATTTTGCCTGGTGTTGTTGATCATTGTTATATAATTGTCATGATGGTGGTGGTGTTTTCTCATAGATTTGGTAAGAAGTAGTTTGTAGAAAATGTACTACATCACTTTTTGTCTGTGTATCCAGCAATACCTGGTCCCTCAGCTGCGCTCTCAGTGTGGTCTGACTGAGGAAAAGGTTTCCATCTCCCCCGACGCCCTCAGTCTGCTGATCAGGCAGTACTGCCGGGAGTCTGGAGTCAGGAACCTGCAGAAACAAATAGAAAAGGTAAGATGCTTCTTCTGCTCTGGCTGTTTTCAGAGAAGAACATCCCTGCGTGAGCCAGAATACGATCACGGACCTCATCAACATTTATCAATCAGAATGTGATGCCCAACGTTCGCTCTGGACCCCAGACTGAAAAAAAGTCCCCACCCTTTTCAGGGAGGCCCTACTTCATTTTCACAGTAGCTTTTATACTGTTTTGATAGCTTTTGTTCAAATTTCACCCCAATGTATTTATATTGTGCTAACTCGTGCTACACACTATCATAGGCAAGCCTGTCCTCTCTGTGAACACACACACACACACATCTTACGGCCCGTGTCCACAGAGCGGCTTTTCTGGCTTTTCTGGGCATCTCCCAGCGTTTTGTTAGAGGATCATGATCTGCGAACGAAGATGAAAGTAAAAAACACTCACCGGCAGCAACCCCTCAGTGCCCCCCCCGGCTGATCTGCTCCACATACCGGCCTTCCGGTCTTTGTTATGACAGCTTCTATTTAAAAGACACGGTCAAAACCAAGCTTCTCCTCATATTCCCCGTGTGACGTCACCGGCGCTTTTCTCAAAAGGTGAAATATGAATCCAACAGTGGCTAAAACGGTGTAGCACTAAGAAAATAGAGGTCGGGTGCAGCGCTTAAAAAGGTGCTGTGTTGACCCGGTCCCTGATGCAGCCACTGGGCTGACACTGTAAAAACCTTAACAATACATTATTTTAGTGAACACTGATGATACTCTATTTTCTAATGCAGAGTTTTTTTTAAGGTTTTAAGTTTAAGTTAATTGCTTATTCAATGGCACATCCTCCAGTGTTTTTTTTACCTTTTCCGTCCGTTTCTCAGGTGTTCCGTAAGGTGGCGTTCTCCATTGTGAGCGGCGAACAAACCATGGTGACTGTTACCCCTGACAACCTGCAGCTCTACGTGGGTAAACCCATTTTCACAGTGGATCGAATGTATGACGTCACGCCACCTGGAGTGGTTATGGGGCTGGCCTGGACTTCTATGGGTGAGAGACACACGCATACACACATCAAACCAATACCAATAAAAGATACAACATGCTGAAGGTCTGCCTTTTTTTGTAGGGGGGACGACGTTGTTCATCGAGACCTCTCTACGGCGCCCTGCTGACCCTAAAGGAGAGGGCTCTCTGGAGCTGACCGGTGAGTGGGGGGGTTTGTTAACTATGTCTGTTATGTTTAGCTGAACAGAGCATCTTTAAAGTGCTGTTGTTCCTCTACAGGTCAGCTGGGCGATGTCATGAAGGAAAGTGCAAAGATCGCTACAACCTTTGCCAGAGCCTTCCTGATGAACCAGGAACCAGAAAATAACTTCCTGGTCAACTCCCACCTGCACCTGCATGTCCCTGAGGTAACCATGGAGAACTACTACTGCACTATATGTGTTTAGTTTTCTTTCCACATTCTTACTTATACATTACTAGTGACAAATAGTAGGTAAATACATTTTATTTGTGCAGCATTTCATCGCGCAAGTTTGATTTGTGTTTACTGGCGTCCCTCAAACTAGACGCTTACCTCCATGTAGACACCAACAACGTTTCATTAGCCATGGCCAAAATCACTCTTTCTGCTGCCTTGTACATAGTGTGGAAGTCACACAATCTTCAGATTAAGGACATGCCAAGCAATTGTTTTAAAGCCTTTATATTTCTTACTGTCAGAAGTTAATCAGCTGCAAATCAAACGTGTAGCCTGAGAGGTCTGCAACAGAGTTTAAAAGCGGGAGTTGGTGTGTGTGTTATTGATTGCTCGGGGTTAGACAAAAAGAGGCCTAGGTCGTCAGCATACAGGGAGACTATGACAAAACATCTTAGTATTATGGGTTTCATTTTCATATTGGAATGTCTAATATTTGTTTAGTTTTTCTTCCAATTTAGAATATTTATTATAGTTTCATTCACTCATAACAGTGCATCCGTGCTATCATTACTTATAGGCGAGCAAGGTCAGTAGAGAGCAGTCTTTGCATGAGATTGATGTTACGTGGCTTAAGACGTTTTCTGGACCCAGTGTTGTAGAAATAACATTTGATAGGAGTTTTGTTGGACGGAAGATTATTCAGATTGACCTGATTTGAAAATCCTGTGATGGTATTAAAAATCCACAGTAGCTGGCAGCAATGCTTCATCTTATCTGTTTGACAACAACACTTGTTACTTATTTCCAGGGAGCCACTCCTAAGGACGGACCAAGCGCCGGCTGCACCATCGTCACAGCACTGTTGTCCCTGGCAACCAAGCGGCCGGTGCGTCAGAACGTAGCCATGACAGGTGAAGTGTCACTAACTGGAAAAATACTTCCAGTAGGAGGCATCAAAGAAAAAACGATTGCGGTAAGTACAAGACGCACCCAACCAATCGCATCAATCATCTCAACGCCCTGAAACAGCTGAGCCAATCACAGATGTTTCTGTAGGCTACGATTTTGGATGAATTGACAACCTGACATAAAAAGCTTTCAACCCCACTTCTCTCAGGTTAAAGCTATAATTTTATTTTTTAAATTAGTATTTCTCAATAGTTTGACCCGGATTTTGCGTGTCTCCTTTAGGCCCGTCGTGCTGGAGTAACCTGCATCATCCTGCCAGAAGAGAACAAGAAGGACTTCTCTGACCTGCCAGACTACATCAGCGAGGGCCTGGAGGTCCACTTTGTGAAACACTACAACCAAATATACCCCATAGCCTTCCCACAGGACCAGTCTTAACCAGCTGTTTTGATCTACAACACTGAAACCAAGGCAAGATGGACCAAGACTTATTTTCATGGAGCTCCAGAACCAGTTCGATGCCACATTATGGTGATTTCTATTCTGGTTATAGTTGTAGTAAATATGCAGTTTGGATCAAGATCCTATTGTGGAGAATGGTGCTACATTATCTGTTCCAAACTCATCCAGAGGAACAGGGGCTTTGTGATCACACAGACATATCCAGCTTCAGCCTCCACAAGAACTCTGAATGTAGGAAGACAGTGTGATAGCAGAAAACATCTCTGGACTGAAACCACGCAACCAACTGTGCCAACGATGGATATACACAGTAAAGGCCCAGTGATGATGATGGTGATGATGGACACTGGCCGGTCACCGCAGGATATGATGTCATCGATGATCAGAGGTTGAGGTGGCCATCTGGCTGCCAGGCAACCTCTTTACCCGCAGCTGTCATTAGACAGCGCTGTGGATGCAGTCTTTAACACAAATCTAATTTTTATACTATTATATGCAGATCTGATGATGATGATGTTGAAATAAATTAAAATATAAAACATATCTCTGCTGGCTGCTGTTCTTTTTACTTATCAACCTGTGAACCTTTTAATGAGTGGTGCCACTTGATTACAACTTTTGCGTAATATCGTGTTTAAAGTCTTCAAAGCTTGTGTTTTTCATGAAAGAGAAACCTGTCAGCTAGTTAGGTTCGATTGATGGTTCCTTATGTTTCCATTGCAAATCAACTTTTTATTTGGATTCATGGTGCATAAGGGGGAAGATAACTTTTAAAGTTTATTTATAAAGGCTAGATAAAATAATCAAGAACCTCAGAAGAAAGCAGCGTTCTGAAAGAAGAGTGCGCTTTGTGTTTTACACGCAGGATAAATCAGATGCTGCAGAACACAGAGCTGTGAGTTTTACATCACTTCAGTCATGCATTATTTTATACTTCAGTTATTATCCAGTGGAATGTCCTTACCTACTGGCCTAGTTAAATCAAAGTGGTTACTTTTTTTTGGCTGGGCAGTGTAGTTTTACACACCATCTTATTTGACTTTCTCAGGACTTAAAACAGTTTTTTGGGGGCAGACCCCCACAAAGAAGAAAAATGTTATACACACGTAAGGTCATCATTTTAACAGTGTTGTATGCTCATCCGTGAGCAGAGCATCAAGTTGACATGTTTATTACAGCTGAATGCGCGATTACCATTTTGTTCAGCAAAACGCCTCACAAACTTAGTAAGATCCAAAGCTTTAGTGCGTTTTGATTCAATGCTGAGTACAGCCAAACTTGACAGTCTCTTCTCTGTCATTGTAGACCGCAAATACCTCATTCCTTCAGTACTTGGGTCCGAATGCTTCTCGTTTTGCGCCGTCCCGTTCAAATGAAATCGCCGCCAATCATATTTCCACGTTTTGCTCTTGTCCAACACAGCAGGTTTAGGATTTGGAGGCAGAGGAACATCACAAGCTGTCAGATTGAGACGGTAGGACATCAGAGAGGCCACGCCATTGTTCAGAGAAGGAAACCCTATGTTAGATGAATGCGGGTACATCTTCTCATGACTGATGTCAGCAGGTGGAGGGCTCGGAGGCAGTGGGACCTCCTCAGCGAGACAGTGCACAAAGTGTTTCTTTGACTGAGGTTGAAAGCTGCACGAAATCCAATTAAGACATGCTTATAATGTCCAAACATCAGTTTCAAACCTTTATTAAAAAACTATTTTGTGCTCAAGATAACATCTTACAAATCTTATATTTGAAATAATTTGAAGTCTAATGCAAGACTTACCTGTCAGTGTTATTATAAGGACCTGCCACGCATCAGCGTTCTGCTGATGCGTGGCCCAGAGCCTCTTTGGTAGAGGTGATGGTCGTTTGCCTAAGAAAAGATACATTTGTGTTTTTAAATGGTTTCAAGTATAGGAGCAAATAATTTCACATTTAGCAGTACATCACTTTTTAAGGGCATGTGACAGAAATGCATGCATCTGATATTGTTAATGTGAAATAAAATGATTTTGTCTACTTGTAATTTAAATGTGTGCAGAAATGTCTTCATCAGTAAGGTTTCATTCATTTCTCATCTATAGATGTGAAGTCACAAGCTACAATACATTTAAAAAAAACTTTTTGGAGAATGTTTCACAAATGCACACTTCTTTTTTTCCCACTGCAACAATTGATAGTACATGTACACATTCAGATACATGCACACACAAGGTGATATAAAACTGAAACTGGTTGAATCTGTGAATGTGAATATCATTTTATGTTTGAAAAAGCTGAAACCGAGAAGAGTATTTTACCATCGTCTGAGCCTTTTTCAGGCGTTGCTTGGACCAAAGGTCCATGATGGATTTGGTCTGACAATCTGTAGAACGTAACAGAAGCAATTATCAGCAAGGTAACACTGTTGAGAACCTTATATTCAAAAAAGTTACATTACATTTCTCAAACTACTTGAGAACTACTCAACATTTATGAATATGCAAAACGTAAAATGTAATTTTTTGAAGGAAAGATCCACCAAGCCTTACTTCAGTGATGTATTTCAGTCTTCCTGATGCCCACAAGCTGTTTCTTTGTTGAAATATCTCTTGTTTAGAAAAATGTTTGTAGTCGGAAGTTCACAGGTACCAACGTATGTAGTGTTTCTCAGTTGTGGTGCAGTGAGTAGACTGGCTTCAGAACCTAGTCTCTGTCTTCCTCTGTGTTCCTCTGTCTTCCTCTGTGTTCCGGAATGTAAAGTGTTCCAGATCACCGGAATCAGAATCAGAATCAGAATGTCTTCATTCTTCCCAGGTCCCACAGAGGAGACATTTACATTTGTTACAGCAAGTAAAGAGCCAAAGATAAATTAATATCAATCAAGAAGTTTAACATATAGACAAAATATGCGGTGGCACACATCCAAAGAAGCCACGACATATGATATTTTGAAAATAAATAAAAACCTGGGCATTTCTGTGTCTGATTTCCTGTTAGCAGTCAAAGCTATTTACAATATCTGAAGCTGTGGTTTCAATGTTTGATTTTTGGCTAGATTTATTGTCTATCAAACGTGAGAAAATGCTACAATGCAATAATAATAAGTAAACAACACGTGACGCTTCCTTATGTTACGGTTTAGCCCCACTTTATCCCTGAAATGAATGTAGAGCTCTCAACAAATACTTTTCCTTACCACTATGATGTAACGTTAGATGTGACATTAAGTTGTATAATTTACCTTTTATACATGTAGTATATGATTCACCCTGATTGTTAACCAAATAGAACTACATTTGTCATAATCAGAAAAATGGTTTAGTTGGATAGAAACCTGTGAAACTGTGTCAAACATGATGAGGTCAGTGATGTTGCAACAAAAATGCAGTCTCATCTTTTGAAGGGTAAAAAGGAAGATGATGAGGGCAAATTAAAACAAGGAAGAAGGGTTCTAACTTCATCAGTGGTTTGAAACAGGAGTATGATATCAAAGTAATAATTTAAGACACCCCCATTTTGAATGAAAGGCTGGGATTAGAGGCTTTAATATTTCCAAGTTTATTCACAAACTCAAACTTTTGCACTATTTTTTGTTTTCAATATTTTTTAAATCTCAACAGTCACAAAATGTAACAATGGCAAAACCTAGAATCAACATCAAAGATAGAAAACCCACAGAGCACAAATAACAAGAAAAAACTAAACTGGGGACCAGTCCCTAACAAACTCATTAAGAGTTCCGTCTAACACATGTGATAATCTCTCCGATGGCAAAATGGACATCAGATTTGCAAACCATTATAAGATATCAGGTGGATCTTCATACAAACATTTTGCAATATTGTGAGGCGTCCGGCACACAAAGCAATACCAAAAATGTCTGTGTCCATAATTGTAATCCAAGATAGAGATTATAAAGATTTAGAGGTATATCTATCTCAAACACTTTCTTAATCTCGCTTTGAACTCACATCCAAAAAGATACAACGTTATAGTGCGTAACTGTTCAAGAGCTTCTTTTACATTTCAGGCATAACAATGAAGAACACATAGGAACATATTCACATTGAACAGCTGGGGTTGCATGTAGTCTGTGAATACTCTTATATTGAGTCTCAACGGATTTGTAAGAACATGTTATAACATTTTGAATGCATTGTGCAGATACACTTTAAACTTGAACTGATGGGTGACTGGCCGTGAACCAACCATTACTGATGCAGTATATTATTCTAATTATAATGATGAGGTTTTCTGGCCAGCAGAGGGCAGTCCTCTCCTGATTAGTGGCTGTTATAGAACTACATTCACTAAACTGAGAGCTTTATTAAGCCACACATATTAGACTACAGAAAGAGGAGCAGACAGAATATTAAATAATAACAGAACAGCTTCGCCTGGCTTCACTTTCTGATCCCAGCTAACCCAGCAGACTGATGAGAGTTCCTGACGTTTGCCTTCACTCATTTACCAAACTATCCTCTTTCAAAAGTAAAGAGACACAATTATTCAGTCTCGCCTCTGGCTGTCTGAATGAATTAAATCCAGCAGTTATTCATTTTATCTTCAGCTTTTGAATCCAATCTGAAATGTAAACTGTATAGAACGGCTGTTGAGAGGAATTCACTTTATGTTGAATATGTATTCCCTCACATTTTGTCAGTCAGTACGACTGTCTGTATAATTTAACTGACAGAACATTGTAGGAACATGTGGTAACAGTTAACCATTACCTGTTTCTGTGTCAGTTATATCTATGAATGTAATGCATTGTAATGTTTTATGTGATAGAACATGCTTGGGTCAGCACTCATTTTTCAAAATGTGAACCATGGCAGCAAGGATTGCCATGCCAACCTCAGGTTACACCACTTTCTGAAAGGCAGATAACACAACAGACCCCTCCCCCGTTTTCACTTAAACCTTTTTGAAAAGATCCTATAGCTATACTATAAAACTGTGGAAAATATTGTACACTGCAGTGCATAGGAAGGAAGTTATTTTTATATATTTACAAGAACTCTGATTTATCTATATGGCTTTGAAATAACCACAGGAATTACATCAGTACCTCTCCTGCCAGTAAAAACAAAGACCAAATAATGTATACAGATTCCGGTAATGTTATTACAAAATATACCATTTTGTTAGATTTGAAAGTGAACAATGATCTATGAACTATTTGAGATTTGAAAATGTCCATATTAGTTGTTGAACTATGAAGTATTTTGTAAAAAATGTAATGTTCATGAAAATCTTAAAACTCTTCACGGACCCCCTGCAGAGAGGCCCCATGTTGAGAATCACTGGATTGCACAACTCAAGAGAGTTTCAAGAGTTTGTCTTATTGATCTCCATTACATACCAAAGGAGAATGGAAACCAATTGCTTCATGTGAGGATTAGAAACATTCACAGATCCAACAAAAAGAGAGCAGCAGTGTTTGCAGAAATGTTAGTTGTCTATGATATGTTAAGTTCAAGTGGCATGGCTAAAAATGCAAAACAATGCTAATCCTATGTTTAAAAAAAAAAATGAAAACACTTTAACTGAGAAGGCCAGTAG